TTTTTTTTTTTTTTTTTTTTTTTTGGGGGGGGTGTTTTTATAACAGTGGGAGGACAGGTTGCTTTTAATACAATATGCTCTATTATCTTTAGCCAGATAAGGACAAAAATAAGATTTACCCGTATGGGCAGCACGGTGGCATGGTGATTGGCCTCACAGCAAGAACCTCCTGAGTTAAATTCCACCACCTGGCCAGGGCCTTTCTGTGTGGAGTTTTGTTCTCCCCGTGTTTGCCTGGGTTCTCTCTGGGTACTCCAGCTTCCTCCCACAGTCCAAAGACATGCAGTTAGTGGGTTTAGTTTAATTGGCCATTCTAAATTGCCCATGAGTGTTAATAGTTGTGTCTCTCTGTGTTAGGCTTGCGACAGACCTGCCATGTGTAGCAAACTGTTTTATTGGATATGCTATTATACCCTATTTATAGTGTTTATTGTATCGATTGATATGCTTTTATATCTTTTTTATACCATTTTTATTGTTTTGTTTGATATGCTTTTATTCCCATGTGAAGCACTTTGAAAAAACTTCCTGTTTTAAGAAGCGCTATATAAAGACATTTTACTTACTTAGTTATTGCCTCTCGCCCTACCGTAGCTGGGATAGGCTCCAGGAAAAAAAAACCTGCTAGCTAGATCCTGAGATGAAGATAAATTCATGCAGTGTGTGATTTTGTTGTGAGGTCATAGGGTGTTGTATTGAAAAAAATATCGCGCAGCTCTCTCCATGCACTTTCATATGATATGTTATACTCTATGGGGTTTTTTATTTCCAATTTCTTTTCTAGGTCAACTTTGACCTTGGGCTATGAGAAATGAAGGTCGAGGTCAAATGCTTAGCCAACCTCAGTGTCCCCCAAGACCTGGATTATTGTTGCGAAGTTTGACAATGATCTATAAAAAAATTGTGGGTAATATGAAGTTTTTGCTGATTTTTAGTTTTGGTGTGACCTTTACTGTATTCTCACCAAAGTTAAAATCGGCTCGAGGTGGCATTGGAATCTACCATCACACAAAATTTAAACATGATATCTTGAAAGCTGTGGATGCTAGACTGCTAACAAAGAGACAGACAAGCACAGACAAAAGGAGGAGGGGGTGGTTCTGAGAAGCATTTATTTGTCTGAAAAAGTACTCTTATTTTATGACGCATGTTTGTGTTCTTTGCTGTTTTTGTTGTCTAGGTCTACCTGAGGGAGTCAAAGACCTTCCTCCTGGGGTTGCATTACCACTAGAGTCCAATCTTGTCTACATGCAGGGTATCAGCTTTAGCAAGGGCTGTTACATTGGCCAGGAACTCACAGCCAGGACTCATCACACTGGTGTGATTCGAAAACGCCTGATGCCAGTACGCTTGTCATCTCCAGTGGAACACCTCGAGGAAGGAACGGCACTGTTAACCCAGTCAGGCAAGCCAGCTGGGAAGCACAGAGCAGGGACAGGAGAACTGGGCCTAAGTCTGATCCGCATGGCGCACGCCAAAGAGGTGTTGACGCTCAGATCTTCTGACGACACTACAGTGACACTCGAAGCCTCCGTGCCAGACTGGTGGCCTGAAGATGCGAAATGTAACTGAAGGGAATGTTTTAAAGCTCCCTAAAAATGACATGCATCACATCTGACAGACTTCTCATGGACATAACCCTCAAGTACAGTATGTTACACTGTCATTGCTTAACAGCTGTGTGGCACTGGTCCATGTTTGGGTATTTTTTATTTTATTTTTTTGCAATAAAGCCCAAGTTTGTGTGTTTTTGATTTTTTGCTTAAGTATTATTTACCACTGAACTATCATAGATTTATCACAGCTCTGTTCATACTGGACACAAATAGTGTTGGTGATTATTCAATAAATATTTAAAAGAGAAAACTCAGATATTTAATGTGTTTAATCTGTCAGTGCAAAAACAAATGCAAGACATTCACAAACAATATTTGAGATTCCAGTTCAACTCAACCCAAAGATGCAGTAACAGATGTATCATCCTTTTTTTTTTTTGCACTTTTGCAAACGGGCACTTTTCATTCAAGCTATTTCCAGTCGATAACAATGGTGAGAGGCCGAACACATTACTCCTGATAAAGGAGATGCTGCCCTCTTGTGGACTGTATGGTGTCACGAATTTGCTGTAACATTGTTTCTGGCTGCAGAGTCAATGTTGAGTGATCAAGTCGCTTAAAGTCTTCATTGCACAGGAGGCATTCGATTATATGAGCTACTCTTTGTAGGTCAAAGGCCGCGTGGTAAGGTCCCAACGTGGTGAGAATCTCTGAGAGATGACGTGAGTAATCGGAGGAATCCCCAGAAGAGCAAGCGTTAAGGAAAGCCATTCTGTTGTTGGCAATGATTTTCAAAAATGAGGCAAATTCTCCATAATTGATACCGGAGCAAGCCTTCATAATTACCTAAAATGAAACGCACCAAGCAATTGCTATTATGATCAGAGCAGAAGCACATTTAAATGACATGACTGAAAAGTTCCATGCATTGTACCTGGCAGTGCTGATGCCACGAGTCCATCGTGTTTCTCCACTCATTTATCTCTTTTTGAACAGATGACAGTTCAGTCTGAAGAAACTGCCACATGATGTCAATGTTGCAGCCATTTAGCCAGTTATGATTAATAGAGATGGTGTCCTCCTGTATGAAACAGAATGTTTTAATATGTCAAACTGGTGATAAATAAAACGCAGTGTTATACAACTTAGAGTAACTGCGATGTCATCATTTCCTGCAAAAAGCCATATTTCTACCAAAAAATATACACAAGGTTTAAATTTATGAAAGATATGTTGACTGGAGGAGATAAACCAGAGCTGCTGTATTGAAACATGAGTGTGTCTGTAAATGTGTGTAATGTTAAACAAAACATGAATTTTGTTTAAAACCTAATTTGAAAAAACATTATTAGGGCTCTTGTCATCTAGTACGTAGTAAGTAATCCAGTCCATTAGACTATTAGGGTATGTTCACACTGCACGCGAAAGCGCATCAAATCTGACTTTTTGACCCTATGCGACCCATATCCGATCATGGTATGACTGTGTGAACAGCACAAATCCAATATTTTCGTATGTGGTACTGAATCCAATACATATCTGATGTTTTAGAAAGCGACTGCTGTTTGAATGGTCATGTCGCATTAAATCCGTCTTTTACGTCACTGACACAAGACAGACACCAATTGTCAGCGCCAGAGAAGCGCCCAAGAACGCTTCCTGGCAAATCCAGTGAAACTGTTGGGAAGACAACGTTGGACAAACGTGAACATTTTATTTGTACTGCATTATCTGCAGATTCTGACAGCAATCTGCAACTATCCTTTGAAGCACCGCTCCTCTCTAAAATAGCAATAAGGATAATTATTAGGCCATATGCAAATAACAAAATAACTTCATAACTTAAAGCAAAATTGGGAAACGTAAAGTCCGAAACAAGTCTTTATATTAAGGGCCATCAGTCAAACAATACTGTTTGGTCTGGGTCTGAACAGAGCGCGTTGTGTGTGACGTTTTCTTTTGCGCACACGGGCCGCTTTGAGGGTTCTTAGCTCAAAGGAGTAGCCAGGCATGGTGTTCTGTTGCTGTAGCCCTGTCTGACATGTTTTAAGTTCAGAAGTGCTATTCTTGCAAAACTTGTTTCTAACGAGTGTGTGGCGGAGGTGTGGTCCGGGGCACGGCTGCAGGGGAGGAGTGGTGCAGTGAGCTCGACGGGGCGGTGCTGGTAAGAACAGCTGATGGCGATTTTGGACTGATGGTGGTTTTCCTTCCCTTTATATATAGTGAGGCGGAGAGGAGTGGAGGAGAGCGAAGGGAAAAGAGACACACATCAGCTGGAATCGAGAGCTGTCAGTCTGTGCGTCATATTGTCTGCTGTGTTAACATCAATAAATGTGGTCCTTGGCAATACGGATCTGCGTGTGTGTGTGCTTGGGCCTGGTATACTCCACAGAGTGGTTAATTGAATTGCTGCTACCTCATCGAGAACTGTCGCTCACTGGATATTTTCTGTTTTTCAGAGCATTCTCTGTAAGCTGGGAAAAGTTTCTAAAATACTAAGACCAGCCGGTATGGCACAAACAATCACATTCAAAGCCACTTAAATGGCCTTTTTCCCTAATTCTGATACTCAATATGAACTTCAGCAGGTCATTTTGACCATGTCTACATGCCTTAATGCACTGAGTTAGATAATTGTGTTAACAAGCAGCTGAACACGTGTACCTAACATTGTGGCTGGTGTTTACATTCAGTCTAACAGAACACTTCTCATAGTAAGAAATGCAACTTGTCTTTTATAATACTTGGCAGACCATTTTCCTCTAGATCACCAGTAGATATCCCTCTACAGCTCTTACCAGGTTATAAACTTGATGATGCCAACCACTAGGGACAAAAATGATTTCTCCTGCCTCCTGAATGATTTCAAGAGGTTGGCAGGCTTCTTCAGCGTGTGGAAAAAGGCCTCTGTCTCGAAGTTCAGCTGACGTAACATCATAAGGGAGGTTGCCGTGAGTGTCTCGTAAAAACTCCTCCTGACCTGGAGGATACAGGAGCCACTTCTTCCTGCCACAGATGTTTGCAGACCAACTGTATGAACGGAACACATCAGAGTGGAATGGTGTCCTGGTAACAAGGAAGTGCACTGGGTCAGATCATGAAACATTTTATATAAGCTTATGTTTTGTTTTGTTTTTTTGAAATAATGTTTTCATACCATGACCCTTTAGGTCCCATGTAGACAAATCGGTAGTCATCCACTTCGAGGGTGTCCCAGTATTCATTGAGCCAGTCAGAAGTAAAGAACACTGGTGTGGTGTAAACATTATGTTCTGGAAAGTCCCTGTGGAGAAATTTACAAAGGATAGTTACACATTTTTCATACAATGGTGTAAACATTTTTCTTTGGATTAATATTACTGTGATACCTTGACATGTGCCAGTCTTTAAGATAGAGGCATCCTTTGGGTGATGAGTGTCCATTCAAGATGTATTCCCTCCAGTAGTGTATAAATTCTTTAAAAGGCATGACTTGTTTGGGGTTGGCATTGTACTCCTTCGCATTGCAGTTTGCAACAGGGACTGGAGTCTCATCTGTGATTGAAACAGTAACAGTTATTAAGAATTATTACAGATTATCTTTGCAGACATTTACACAGTAATGCATGTTTGTTTTACCAAACTCTTGCAGCAATTTCTGGAAATTAGGTTTCCCATCCTCAGTCACCCACTGTTTCCTACACTTCCACTCCTCTGTGAATCTCCTTGAAAACATACAAGGGTGATTGGGGAGCAGATATTTCTTGAAAAACTTGGAATAGCTAAGCTCCTTGTCAATGTAATCTACAAAATGCGAAGACCAAAACTGTTCATATGACTGCCTTGGTATTTTGACCAGGCTGCTGCAGTTACGGTACGCCTCCCTGTCCATGATGGTAAACAAGCCCTCGGCTAGCTATTTAGCAAGCTCAGCTGTCAGGGTTTGGACAGCGGGGGAACTGTGAGGGGGAAAAGCTAACTGGAAGATTAACTCGCCATTACACCGCGTACGTATTCTCACGTTTCTGCCACATTTGAAAATCTGGTTAAGCTAGAAAAAGATACTAAGCTAAGAAAAACGCAATTTTCCACTATGACAAGCCGCTACACATTAGCGCATGTTGGGACTCCTGAACGACGCACATATAAAACCGTTGCTATTTATATTTTGTCACGTCACATACATATATATATTTAATACATTTATATTAACGTTATGTTTTTCGTATCGCTTGGAAAGCGCCGAAACCGCCGCCGCTTTCATTATTTTTCGCCAGACATTTTCGCAATAGTGCTTCTTTTTTTTGACAGCAAGTTTTTTTCCCCCAAGTCGGACGGTAAATACGGCCGTGCTCGAGCGTGACGTCACTTCCGCAACAAACAGCCGAGTTACTGAGAGGACTACGAGGTAACGTAATGCCCAGCCCGGTGTTGACGATTAATGTGGTGTCGGTTTAACTGCACCGAGAGGACATAAAACACGTTAAAAGGGTTATAACATTATAATGACGCACGCGTAATGCGGTCAGCTGGCTAGAGAGCTGAAGCTGCCAGTGTGAACGCCTCGACTGAGCTCATCTTGCTGTCTGGATTACACTCAAAAGAAAGTATGTTCTTCATCACGACTCGCAGATCACTCAGTACAAAGTGCTTCTGATGTAATTTCATCTTAACCTGCAGCAGTACCTATGTGCATGTTAAACTGATACCTATTTGTCCCCCTGACAGGTGAATCTGTCTTATCTCCTTCCATCACAATGAGCCGGGACGTTCCCATCCACAGCTGGCCAGGCTCCTATTACATCAACAGTGAGAAACGGTGGGAAAACGGAACCCTCTCTCTCACCAGAACCACGGTGTGCTTCGTCTCCAACCAGAGCAAGGAGAGTCTTGCAAGCTTCCGTCTCTCGAGGATCGTGGAGATCAAGATGGAGTCATCTAGTTTCATCTTCAGCACTCTCACAGTACTTGAAGAAGGCAACGTGAAACATTGGTTTGGTTCCCTTAAGCCCAACAGGGTGGTGGTTTATAATGTGTTAGAGCATTTCTGGAGAGAGCGGCTTCTCTCTCCCAGCTCAGAAGCCCAGCGGGCTGAGGCTCAGCCTTCGAAGGGAAGAGAGCTGATCAGCCTGGTGGCAGGGGCCCAGAAAAGATTGGAGGACACTGGCAGAGTCCTTGGCCATCAGGGAGAGCAGTTTGACAATATGATGCAGGGCCTGGAGAAGATTGACTCTGACTTGGGCGTGGCTGACAAGTATCTTAAGATATTTTTAGTTATTGAAGTTTTGCACATGTCTTGTTTATATTGCTTGGCTAACTATAACAAGGCCTAATTTATGACTAACATCAGTTCCACCTGCCTCTGTATTACAGACTTCTGTCAGAACTGGAGTCTCCTTCCTGGTGGCCTTTTGGTAAACTCCCCTGGAAGACCCAGCAAGATGCAAAGGCCGATGATGCTGCGAGAGCTGCAGCTACTGCTTCTTCTTCAGCAGCCAGGGGCTCCAGCAGAAATAAGTTAATCACAAGCATCCCAGCAGTGCTGTCCAAAGGTGGAGAATCGGACTTGAAGCCAGGATGTTTGTCGGTGCTAGTGTCCTCGCTGGAGGTGCGAAACACAAACTGCCAGCTCCTTCACAGATTTGAGCGAAATGAAATTGATGAAATCAGGGTGCACAGCCCCTATGAGATTACCGTCAGGCAGCGTTTCATCGGGAAGCCAGACATATGTTACAGGCTCCTGTCCGCCAAGATGCCAGAGGCTTTGTCCGTGTTAGAGATGCAGTACAAAAAGAAGATAGAGTTCACAAGCGAATACACAGATTTTAAGACAACTCCAGTTTCATCGCCATGTGACACAGAAGGGAAAAGCTGGACTGAAGGTAAGGAACACATCAAAAAATAAATAAAGACACTCTTATTCCACAGTGGTTTCCATGCCTAGTATAGATTTGACCACTAAGTGGCAGTAAAGGTCTGCGTTTCCACCTCTGTGTATTTATAAGTGTGCAGCCACATGTAAAAACATTTCATCATGGTTATTGGTGTCTCCTTGACAGAAATGTATTTTGATGAGTCACTTCACCCTGATTGCCTCAGTTGCTGTACTCTGAGTTTACTGTCTGGTTTCCTCATAAACAACATATGTACTCTGCACTTTTTCACCATCTCCACCCATGGAGTCAGGTTTACTGCAGACGTGCCAAGAGACAGAGCTCCCACTGGAGGTCCCCGCTGGAGAGCTGTCCCAGTTGCAGGTGCATGTCTTCCAGCCATCTGTCAGTCAGGCTGAGGCCCAGGAACTCAAACAGGTGAGAAAAGCTGGACTCCCAAATTTATGACTACACTACCGTGGCCTTAAAATGTTTCATATTTGTATTCACAAGACAAGTAACGCAAATGAAAAGCCATGTGTGCTCCGGGAACAGATTGATTCAAATAGGGGTAGCTGCTATTGTAAATAATCCCAGAGTCTCAGCAACACGTATTTTGATGTTTCCAGTCCAAACCACAATTCACCATAATGATTTTTTTTTATTTTTCATCCTGTATGTTTAAAATGTTATTTGGTGAGACCACAAACCAATGTCCATCCTGGTTTTAAGAGAGGAAAAGAAACACGGTTAGTTATTTGGTCAGAACCTACAATGTCTTTCCATTCAGAACCTCACAGCGCTGAATGCTGTTACAGACACGGTCTGTGGTGGCAAGACCTACACAGTGACGCAAATTCAGACCCGTGATTTGGGCAAGTTTTATTTTTTTATTTTTTATAATGTGTGTGTGAATCACTATTACAGGTTGCTTAGACTAGGATTTTTCATGTAAAACTTTCAGAAAGTTGCTCTTTGTTTTATCATATAATGTTTAAATGATCAAAGTTAATGAGTGACTTCAGTCTACAAGGCTCTACTATATGTAAAGGAAAAAAACTATATTAACATTTACAAGTGAGAAGAAACCAAGCAAATACAGTTAATAATGGTGCAAATGTGCCAGTATTGAAATATGTAGCAGACAAAGATGGCTTTGCATTACACATTAACACATAAACATATTAACTCAAAGTTTTTCATGACATCATTACCGCCCTCAACTCCTCAAATCAAAACTGAAGCAACAACATACAAATGTCTTGTCAACAGCAGCAGTTGACAAGACAACTGCTGTTTGTCTTATCCATAGACAAATACTGTGTTGGGGTTAACAAATAGCTTCATGCTGTAGCTCAGGAGGTAGAGTAGGTCATCTACTAATCTAAAGGTTGGCTGTTTGGTCACTTTGCCAAAGTATCTTTGGGCAAGACCCTAAGTTGCTCTCGGATGCATTTATTGGAGTGTGAATTTTATAGATAGAGGGATAGAAAAAAGTGCTTATATGAATGTGTTTGAATGGGTGAATGAGGCAAGTTGTATAAAGCGCTTTGAGTGCTCCAGTAGAGTAAAGCAACACTATATAAGAACCAGTCCATTTAAGATTTGCTTGCAGCCTTATAGTAGTATATAAAATAATATCTCTGAGGACCTAACAACATTCTTGGCAAGAACTAATGTACACAGGGAAAACCTGCAACCTCCACACAGAAAGGCCCCAGCGAGCCAGTGGAATGAAACCCAGGAATTTTTTTTTCTTACTGTGAGGCAACAGTGCTAACCACTGCTCTGCATGTTCGGTCAATTGGTGATTCTTAAATGTACGTAGAGGTGAATATGAGCGTGAACGGTTGTCTCGCTCTGCAGTAAACTGCCGACCTGACCTCTCACCCCATGACAGATAGGCTCCAGCCCCCTCCTCTGCCTCCAACTTTCTTCATGATAAGCAGAAGAAGATTGATGGATGGATAATAATATAAAAAAGAAACAAGCACACCATAGCAATAATAGCACCAGGCCAATCACTGGCTAGCCTATTGTGCTTTAAATGGCATGTTATCTGCGGCTGATAATGGGTTACATTTCAAAGCGTGCCAGTTTTGCCTTAATGCTATGCTTTTGTACACACCCTGCTCTTACTGTAATCCATGTCAAGATTAGAATCACTGTGGGCCAACTGGTACTGATAACTTGTGCTCAGTTTCATGTCCTGCCCTAAGTGCCGTGCCAAATAGTCTTTTTGGTGTCAGCATTTGTATGTTTTATTATTGTTTGTGGTTGGAAATTCCCACTTGCTAAAAATATGCTGTAAGAATATGAAATTGAGTGTGCTGCTAATGCACAGTCCCAAAGTTACCGCACCTAATACACAAGACACTCAGACTTTTTTTTGCTAATATATTTTTTCTTTTAGCTCTAGCCTAAATGTTTGATTTGAAGGGTTTCTACATGACTTAAGTCCCCTAGCCATTATATAAACAGCGGCAAGAAGTGTTCATTTTTACTGTTTTTCTATGACACACCGAAGCTCTTGTGAATGTTAACTGCAAGGTGTGATTCAGTCATGTCCTCTCAGTTTAAATTGTAAAGTCACAGACCTGAGTGAATGAATATCGTTGTTCCTTGGTGTGTATTGACATATTATCTGTTTTTCAAACTGCTAACTCGAGCTGTTTTTGTGCTCAGCTGAAATGTCCACATAAACCAGCCAGAGAACATAATGACATAATGTCAGTGGAGTGTGTGTGTGCGTGCGTGCGTGCGTGCGTGCGTGTGTGAGGCAGATCATGTAGCATAAAATACTACCAGTTAAGTAACCATAGTGGTAGGGTTTGAGGTGAGTGTTTATTAGGCTTTGCTTGGCACATCACAATATATTAAAACTGTTCCATCAACTACAGCATATGTAGTTGCTGGATCATGGTCATGTAGTTGTGATATCCCTTAAAGTCACTGAAAGTGAGGGAAAAAACCCAGTATGATATCACTGATCCCAAGAATCAAGCCAAGACTTCCCCCTCTGTGTGTCATCAAGTTTCATCTGCAAAATGAATAACAGCTATTATTGTGGTGAATTCCATTGTTCCTTTCTGATCAGCGCACAATTAACAGCAAGCCTTTCTAACGCTTAAATCAGATGGTTTAAGCGTTAGAAAGGACCAATGTCTATGTCTCTCCATATGTGGTGTTGTTTTAATGTGCCTTACTTCTTATTAACACAAAACGTTGTGTCTTTTTATTGTGCTGTGGTGTGTGGGTGTGCTTTCAGATGCTCATGCAGCTAAAGAACCTTGCCTTGGAGGCTGAAACTGAGCTGGAACGCCAGGATGAAGCCCTGGATGTCCTGACGAGCTCCACAGACCGGGCCACCATGCACATAGAGAAGCACACCTGTCGCATGAAAAGACTCCTGTAGTCCTGACGCTTAAGGAGATGCACATAGGCTCAGTGTCCTGAGAAAAACACCGTACACCTTTTTACTGTTCACATGCAGTTTGAGAACCATGAAAAACGCACATCAACAAGGACTTGTGTGTAGTCTCAAAATTAATTTAGTTGCATTTGATGGCCACCAATTCTTGGGAAGTACAGCAATGGCCACTTAAAACAAGACATCTTTAAAGTTTTCACTTTGGTATTAAAAAGAACACAATTGTTTGTTTTAGAGAAAGAAGATAACATGTGGCCGTGCACATTTCTACATGAGAAAACTTGAACTCTTTGCTAAATTGCATCTTATCAATTCTAAATTTGCCCTTCTCTGTTGGAAATGGTCAAAACATTTAATTGGCCATAGCACGAGTAAATGCTCTCCCTGTGAATGCATATTTTTCAGCTGTGGCCTTTGCATTTGGCTTTAATTCTCTCAGCTGCGCAACATTTTGAAAGGCAGATGTCCTCTGAATACTGGCAAATAGGTGTTAGTATATAAGCCTAATCGGCACATGACAGAAAAAAAATGTAGCCAGTTAACCCCAATTTAAAATATTACCAGTGGGAACCCAATGATGGAGCCCATCGATTTTAATGCCCCCAGTGATTCATACTGATCAGTCGTGTCACCTGAGTGGGAGCTGGCAGGAATCTCAAGTGCACGTCGTGCGCTCCCTGTGAAGTTGGCAGGTGAAAAATAAGCAGATGATTTCAGGGTAGACAGGCAGCAGTATACACCCTCCACATCTGCAGTACAGAACAAGACATCCCGAAATGAAAAGAGAATATATTGTACATTCATTCTGCAGTAACTCATTTAAAACAAGCTGCATGTTGGGTCTCTCTTTGATAATCGACTGCCATTATTTCCTTTTATAACCGTCTCTGTCTTTCTCAGGTTCTGTGTATCACATATCCCTTTTAGTGTTGCATGTCCCAATAATGCTGCTTTGCATAACATCGAGGGAAAATCTTCCATCAATATCAATATATTGCTGAAAAATGTAAATTTGCAACAAGTTCTTGGACCTTTAAACAGAAAACACTACCGATCCACATGTATTGTATATACCTCTATTCTCCTCTAAGCCTGTATTATCTGTAAATGATACATACAATGTAATTCTGTAATGTTATAACAGTCTGTTGTCGCTGTGAATGTGTAATTAGACACTAGGTTAATTTAAATATATGTCTAGTTTAAAAATCTTATCAATGTTTACTTTTTCCTGTGATAATTACCGTGACAACGAATGAAACTAAACCGCTCATTCTAAATACAAGGGAAGACCGTCTGCACTATACTACCATTATAAGCAATGAATGAATTCCTTTCACCATTCAAGGTCTGGAAAGCATATAATGTAAATAAAACTGAAGTTAAACAAGTAGTTTGTTTGTTCTTTTTTGAAACTGCTGCTTACAGTTGCCGTAATCTGTGTCATTGTGCTTGTCAAAGGTGTGTGCTTCAATGATACGATCACACACTGCAGTCTCCCTTTGCAGGCCTCTTAGCGTCTTTGAGTCTTTTGTTTTGGTTCACCCTCAGTACTTTTGTCAGCAGTGCAGGGTGACATTACTTTGACAAGCAGCTTGTTACAGCATGTTCTTGTTACACTCATTACCTCAAATAACACCCCCTTGAACTAAGTGTAATGTATACTGTCCAGACTAAGATGTGTACTGTAGTACTGTATATTATTCCGTTCACTCTTTAACGGGTCTGGTTTCATTTTTATCATTTTTCTCCACCACACAACTACCAACATGCTTGTTAGTTGCACTCGGGGTGACAGCATTAGCTATAGTGCTGTGCAAATGTCTTGGGTTACCCTTTTTTTTTTTAGGGAAATAGGAACTGAAGACTGGCTGCCTTTTGTTCCATTCACTCTCAAGATGATCTCACACTGCTTCAATGATGTTGATGTCCAAGCTCTGGGGAGTATTAGGGCCACGTTTAAATATAATATTGTGTAATAAAATTCAGATTCATTCACATTTATTAAAAATAATATATATATATATATATATATATATATGTAAGATTAACTAACCAACCGGACATAGTGGTGGTAGACAAACAGAAGAAGACGGCCGTAGTGATCGATGTAGCGGTTCCGAATGACAGCAATATCAGGAAGAAGGAACACGAGAAGCTGGAGAAATACCAAGGGCTCAGAGAAGAGCTCGAGAGGATGTGGAGGGTGAAGGTAACGGTGGTCCCCGTGGTAATCGGAGCACTAGGTGCGGTGACTCCCAAGCTAGGCGAGTGGCTCCAGCAGATCCCGGGAATAACATCGGAGATCTCTGTCCAGAAGAGCGCAGTCCTGGGAACAGCTAAGATACTGCGCAGGACCCTCAAGCTCCCAGGCCTCTGGTAGAGGACCCGAGCTTGAAGGATAAACCGCCCGCAGGGGCGTGCTGGGTGTTTTTTTTTTTTTATATATATATATTGTTGATCATTTTGAGAATAAAACTGATCAGTTGTCTTGTGATACAACATACATCCTCTTAATTGCATTAGGATGTAGCCATTGATAACTTTGCATCTGTCCATTAAAAGCCATTTCCTTTTGTGCAAATCCACTCTCCCACATTTGTCTGTTTTTCCATCTGACCAGATGGAGCTTTCTGATAATAAAAAATAAATGACAAACAAAGTAATATTAAATCTGTTATAAAAACATCACTTCACCAACGCATTAATCATATCTAATTTACCAACGTATATGTCATTCTTTCTAGCTAAAATGTCACATTGGAGCCTACTGATGATGGGAAATGGCAAACGTCTGAAAATGTAGTTTTTCAGGGTGTTTTGCTCCTTGATACACATGAACTATATTCATCACAATTTGCATCTCTTCTAAAAAGTGTTCCCCTATATAGCGTCTAGAGAGAAAATGACCATTAAAGAAAGAGATACGACTGACTTTTTTTAGATGAAAAAATAGGATTACTATTTGTGGGGACTTGTGAAATGGGCCAGTGAAATGAGTTTTAACCAGGCTTTAGGTCTTAACAGAAAGTAATTGGGAAACGCCCCTCACAGTCAGCTCACATGTGACAAACTGTAACAGAAGACTTGAAAACAGTTCATTATGGTATTGGTCGCTGTGCATGCTGTTGTGAGGAAGTCGCTCACTTTATTCCCTCTAATATTATAACATCCTGTTGGCACCGGGGCTGTTGGCATTGGTTTGACCACCCCAGCTGGACTGCTTTTACCAGAAGGGGGGACTACTTCATGTCAACAGGAGACCACATTTGATTTGGCAAGTGTCTGAGTAATTAATTATGAATCAGGAAGAAGTCTTTCATAAAGAGGTTTGAAAGACTGGCAGCCTCATTCAACAGTTTGGTCCCAGTTAGCATGAACTTATCACTTCTATTAAACAGAGCCCACCAGGAAAGATGTGACACTCAAAACTAAACAAAAAAAGCAAGGCCTCAGTGAGATGTTATGCTTTCTTCTGCACAAGTGAGAATGTTTTTACTGTGGGTCATTTTTTGGTTGATTTCTGTGATAAACAGAGTTTTGAAAGTCCCAAACTCCAGAAGCATACCACATGGTTATGTGAATTCCAATCCTTAAAAAAGGTTAGGGGAAATAGAACACACACTGGCGTGGTTTTCAAGCAGCCTTGCAATACGAGGAAGTGGTGGCGGTCTTGTCTGACCACAGATACACGAGATCCGGCTTTACTTTCCCAATGGATGGTATGAAGACACAAGAGATTTTGCTGGCCTTGACTTCCAAGTCTGTTTACTTGATAGTTCTGTGGTGAGCGCTCTCATTCAAGGAGCGTGTCTGCACTGATGGCCAATCAATCAACTGCTGCAAGGAAAAAAAAAACAGCCAAAGTTTGTGGGCTACAAGTCGGTTGCACTGCACTCCAAAATATGGAGTCATGTGACTGCAAGAGAAAAGGGTGTATTCATCATCCCAGAAAAAACCATCCAGCTCTTCAGTGTTTTATATTTATGTTAAAGTTGAAGCACTTTTCTTTGTGTTGCTTGGCAATGTGTAAATGATGCAGCAATTATAGTTTGAAATTAATGGGTTTTTATATAAATGTGTTTTAGTATTACACATCTATTTTCATGAGTAATTGTTGACGAGGAGCAGATCTACTATACATAAACAAAATATTAGAGAAATTTAGCTTCCACTGCTCTATTAGACCATGTCTGAGTCTAATGGCCTGATTTTTGACTCACGTCCTGGACAGCCTGTTTCTAGTGCAGGTGTTGCTGGGTTTCCTTTTGCTGAGGGAGTTTCTGGTTTCAGGAAATAAGGCCTGTTGGTTAATGTTAGAACTGGGAGAAAACATTCCTGTAGGGAAGGTGCTTGAGTCCAACTAGGCAGTGTGTATGTAGTCTCAAACAGAAAAGAGATGACACCAAACATCCTCTTCTTGTTTGTGCGTGTCAGTTTGATAACCTTGCCTCTTTTGCTTAGGTCAGATACAAACATTTTTTGCAGGGATGAGGTAACCTGTAGATTTGAATTTGAGTTTTATTTTTAAAAATAGAAATACACAATGTTTATGAAGCTGCTCTTTGGAAATGTTCTTTCTTTCAGTTTAGTACAATCATAAATGTGCTTTGGTAATGCGGTACTTTCCCAAATGCTGAGCTGCATGATGATATCATATGCCATTGCACATCATTATGCTTTCCTTGGTACTTTGGTTTTCTGGCTTTTGTTTCACCAACCTTTCCCATTTCTGCAAGACAGAGTTAACAGCTAGCCGGCCAAACTAAACATGGTTGTGGTTGTATACAGTAGTATCAGCCTCAAATGAACTCCAAGAGAAACCC